CTCCTCCGTCTCCGAGACCCCAAGAGATGCCATTAATACAGATTCCTCCTCTGGCCCCTTTGACACACTTGCTTTTGAAGGACCTGGAAGAGAAAGCTCTTTGTATGTGGTCAGAATAAAGTCATTGTACACCCAAACAATTAACTCCTCAATGGACTCGCCAGTCCCTTGAAAGGGCCGGCCCTGCTTCCCTGGATCTCTTGGGCTCCATTCAGTCCTTAAAGAACATCAATGTTTTTGGGGTTTTGTTTTGTTTTGTTTTGTGATTCTGAAAAGTCTTTCCCTAAGAATAGTCAGAGCGGGATGAACATTGTCCTCAGCCTGGCATTTATCTCCCCTCGCCAGTGAATGTCAATCAGGAATCAAAAAGCCAAACACAGGAAGCTTTGAACAGTGTCATTGGGGGTCGAAGTGACTTCCAGCTGTCTGTGCATGGGCCAGGCCTCCTCGCAGGGCAAGGAATTGTGCTGTCACACAAACCCGCTGTCTGTATAGGCTCCTTGAACCCATGCAGAGGCTGCAACTTTCTGGGCCTGCACCTGCAAAGACAAGGCCTGGGTTGGGGGTGGGGAGCCTCAGAAGGCTGAGCGCTGTGGTGGTGGATCTTGGCAGTTTCCAAGGCTGCCTTGCTGATGCTGAGGTCTTGAGTAAATCACTGCTTTCACTGAGACTCAAATCTCTCTCTCTCTCTGCCTGGTGTCATCCTGCAGCCTGACTGGTGGTGAGAAAAGATGAGGAGAGCCACCTGCCAGGAGCTGAGCACTGCAAAAATGTAGACCTCAGTCTGGAAACGTTCTCTCAAGTTTACCTCATGTATTTATTTCAGTGTTTCCAAATTTACTTCTCACCCTTCTCTGTTAAAGAGAAATGAGGTTTTGAAAAAAATTTTTTTCTGGATGCTCTGTTTCCCTTAGTCTGGGAAAGCATTATGGTATTAAAGAGGAATAAAACTTTCCTGTTTTAGGTCCAACAGAATCAACAAAAGTAAGCATCAGGCACCAGATTATCCTATGTATCTGTGTAAACTGAGATTGAGATATTTTTCTTTCCAGTCTGTGGGGGAGTCTCCACCCATGTTAGAACCGAGCTCGTGTTGCCTAATAGCTTATTTAGGATCATTTTTGTATGCTCTCCCTTTCGGTTTAGCAATTCTGTTAAAAGACAATTTACTCACCACGAACGTGGCCTGTTATGTAGTCATCTACAGAGCCATGCAGTCACCTTCAGAGAGCCTTTCCTTCCCCCCCAAAAGCAACCTAGAGCCCAGTTGCAGTTACACCCCACTCCCGCCCCAGCCCCCAGAAATCCAGCACGGATCTGCTCTTGGTCCCTGGATGTTTAAAGTGAACCCAGTTGTATGCTATGAGGCATTCGACCCTGGCTTGTGAGCTTCGCTTGGCAGAGTGTTTTTGAGATTCTTATCTATCCTTTCATTCCTTTTAAGCTCTGAGTTGTTTCCCATCAGGTGAGTCCTTTCTAATGCAGCCATCCATAGCTGACAGAAATTCAGATTACTTTCTGTTTGAGGCGGTATGCGATGCCGCCGTGAACATGTGTGTCCCATCTTCCTGTGGATGTCTTTTTATAGCCCTTGGATAGACTTTGAGTGTCTGTAAACTTACCATAGGTTTATGTTTAAAGAAACTTTTAAAAAAAAAAGATACTGCTATTATCTTCCAAAGTGTTTGCCCATTTGTGTGTTCCCACCAGTAATGGAGGAAGGGTCCAGCGTCTGTACATCCTTGCCAACACCTGAAGTGGTCTATCTGTGTGTGTGTGTGTGTGTGTGTGTGTGTGAGCATTCTACTGGGTATTTAGTTGTACCTCATTCTGGTTTCTAATTTGGTACCTCCCTAAGAACTAATGTTGTTGAGCATCTTTTTATGTACTTGTTACCCATCCATGTATCTAATTTGGTGGAATGTATATAAAAATAATTTTCTCACTTAAGTTTCTCAATTTATTAAGTTTATAATTTAATTTTAAAACTTTGATAAGATTTTCAACTTCTAAGCCCCAGTTTGAACACAAGTGATTGAATACGATGGCTAGCACTCCTAGAATTACATACTCTCTTTACTAGATCCTTAAGGTTTTTACATCTACACAATGTCCTGAAGCTTGAAGGCAGGCATTTTCCATCTTTTATGAAGAGGATGTTGCCATACAGAGAAGTAAACTCAAGGGTTAGGTTACCCAACTTGCGGGATGTAAAGCAGGAATCAATGTGATCCCATTTGAGGCTGTGAGGCCAGAAGTACATAGAGAACTTTACTCTCTTTCTCCAGGCCTAGTGTGGGGCCTGGTACTACTCCAGGGCTTGCCTGGAAGCAGAACTAATGTGGACCTTGGAGCCAAGCCTTAGACCTCTGCTGGAAGAAAAGGTGTGCTTGTTTGCTAGGTCAGAAGCCAGGTGTCCAGGGGCCCCGGAGATGATGGTTTGAGGGCCCTGTTGGCTTTGGCCTGGCTTCCTGGCCTTCGGGTCTGCTGGATTTCACAGGTGGTTCCTGGCAGCAGGGCACCTTGTCTTTTCTCACTTCATAAAGATTTCCACCTAGGGCCTCCCTTGTGGCAGAGCAGCTGTATCTCCTGACCCTCGGTGACCCTGCACTGCAGGAAGACTCCCACTCTGTAGGTGGCTGCAGCCAGGCATGCTCTGGAAGGCCCCATCTGGAAGCCTCTGGAAGGCTCTGCAGCCCCCTCGCAACCCCCCAGCAAGGAAACCACTGTTCTCCTTGAGCACCGACCTTCACTACTGATGGCTCAGCCAGACTGGCATCTGCATACTGAGAGAAAAAATGAAGTGTTTTCAGTGACTTGCTCCAGAGAGAGCTACAGCTTTTGTAATAAAGGAGGATTTTAATGTCTACATGGAGTATTAAAATATAGCATAAGCCATGTTTTCACATAGGTCCATGCCTTGAGTCCCTCTTAAGATGTTTGATTTCTTACTTTGCCTTTGTTAGTCTGTAAAACCTCTAGGATGAAGCCCTTCAGGGTGGAGGGCTGAGCACACTGCACTGAGCTATTGAGACTGTGAACTCTGCATCTAGCAGAAGCAATCAAGTGTGCCTTGCAGGTGCCAAAAGACTTCATTCAGTGGCTCATGGAATTCAATGGAAAGAGGTGTTAATAGAGTCAGGGGGAAGTGATGCTATTTTAAAAATGACATTGTGTGTTTCTGCTCAGTGTTTATTCTCCCTCAGTGGCTTCCAGATCAAACTCTCACAGTTTGGCACCTAGGGATGCCTGCTTTGGACTCCAGTTTGAGGCAGTTAAGAGATCCAACTTAGTTACTCCACTGTTAATGCTACACCTCACTCTTTGGGAATGGTTTATTTCAGGATCACCACGTCTCCTTTGAGAGTTGGATCTTGGTGTCAGCCCATGATAACACCAGCAGATCCAAGTTTCTGCTTGTTGAGTTACTGGTTTCTAGCTTCAGCCAAGGTTTGGAGTTCTCAAATCTTAAGATCCCAAGGGTGAGTTGCTGATCTAAGAAGATCAGGACTCCATGTTCACTCTCTGTCCTAGATAAGATGCAAGAAAGTCAGCCAGAGACACTGGGAGAGAGATTATTGGCTATCCGACTGGCATCATAATGTCTATCTGAGAACTTTCATTCTCCAGAAATGGTTAATACTCAGAGAAGACAGTGTTCCATGCACCAAGACCTCAGCGAGAGGACTAGGTCCTTGGACGAGAAGGGTAATTAAACCATCAAACCATCTGAGACAATAGTGTTCTCCGTCCCTCCACCGGATCCCAAGGGAGAGAACAGAGAAACATCTTTAAACTGTGTGCTCCCAAGGTGGATAAAGGTCCCTCCCTGCTCCCAGACCGCATCGAAGGAATAAAATTGTTTCTTTATTGGTGAGAGAAAATTTACTATTTATATACAAAACATGCATCCATGGATATATACATGCATGCATACACACATTGCATGAAATATGCTGCTTGTCATGAAAATGTTCTTGGGAAGGTGACTAGGAAAAAGCTGCCTAGAAAATGTTATTATGAGGACAATAAGGGGAAGAAAAAAAAAAAGAAGAAGATAGGGAACACTGTTCTAAGATCTCTGTGTCCTCAGTGGTAGTAATGCAGAGTCCGAGGTGTACAAACAAAGCCATTCTAATCCTGACCCGCAGAGGTACCTGCTCTGCAAAGAGAGAAAGCTGCCAAGGTATTAGGAGAATAAGCGTTAAAACCCTGTGGCCGAGAACTCTTTGTTCCCACTGTCCGTGTCAAAAATTTCAACGCCAGAAAGGGTAGTTGCTGCCGTTGTCCATTGCCATTTTGTTGGCCTTCCTCTTCCTCTTGTACAGGAGTTGGGGTATATACTGATTGATTCCCGAAAATGTTCCAAAGATTTCCTATTCTCTTCGGTTCATTGTGCTGGACAGAGATTCCCACCTCCTCATCCTTTTTAGATAGAAATGGAGAAATAGCTGGAGTTCAGAAGGGAACAGTACTCAGGTTCCCTGTTTTTCTGAAGTTTCTTTCGAAACATCTAGTCCACTAAAAAAGCATTCTGGGTTGGTCTCTTTCACAAGAGGCAGGAGTGGAATCAGAGACATTAGAATCTGATACCCTAACATTAAGTATCAACTATATCCTAGCAACCTTGGCGAGAACTCAGGGCTGCTGGTGGAGACACCCCTTCCCAGCTTTCCTGTGGACAGCAACAAGGACTGACAGAGTTGTACTGGTGCTCTCAGTCCACAGGACAGGGGCACCCAGAGCGGTGAAACTGGTTTGTTTTGTCTGTCCCCTAAGATGGTTAATGCACATCTGTATTTATTCTACCATTGGTGTTTCTCTGTGGTTTTTCCTTTGCTCTTCTTCTTGCCTCCTTTCTTCTTTCTTTTCTTTGATTTCTTCATTGGAACTTGGCCGGGCCATGTACAAACCCCAACCATTCAACAGTGCTGGAGAGTAGATAGTATTTACCTCAATAATGGTAGTCTCTTTTCGATTCTTTTTAACCCTCAATTCAGATGACGGATCGAAGCCCACACCCACAATGGAGACTCAGCCAGTGTTTGATGGAGATGGTAAGTTCCTGTTTTACCCTCCTTTTTTGTTCTTTCACTGATTTTCAGGTTTGGGAAAGGCCTTGACTTTGAATATTTGTTTAAACTTTATTATTATTGTTATTGTTATTATTAATTTCAAATGTTTCCAGTGTAAGTTGGGTTGTTTTAACCTTTTTAAAAAACGTAAATTCTCCAAGGAACTGAGAGTCTCTTTACTTCTGGGGAGGTCCTCTGTTCCCTCTGGCTTCCTGACTTTACCCTGATGTCCAACAATAACACAGCCCGGACAGATCCAGTGAACTGCCAAGATCAGGGCCAGGAATGTCCCTTCAGTAAATGAATCAACACCTGTATGCGCCTGTTCTGTGTCTAGCAATGTGTCTAAGGCCCCTGGAGATGAATGTCAGCCTTTGCCTTCATCACCTTGGCAACTATGAAAGAGCTTAATGTGCTCAACTACTTTAGAGATTTGTTTGTTTGCAAGTCACAGTTACAGAGAGGGAAGGGGAAACAGTAAAAGATGGAGAGGGAGATTGTCCATCCATTGGTTCACTCCCCAGATGGATGCAATAGCCCGGGCTGGACCAGGCTGGAACCAGGAACCAGGAACTTCCTTCAGGTCTCCCATGTACGTAGCAGGGGCCCAAGCACTTGGGTCGTCTTCTGCTGCTTTTCACAGGTCATTTAGAGACAGCTGTATTGGAAGAAGCTGGGGCACAAACTGTCTCCACTATGGGGTGCTGGTGTCACAGTAACAATTTTACCTGCCATACCACAATGCTGACCGCTGTGATCTTGATTTTTGTTTTGGTAGTAGACATTTGTGGAAGAAGAGATCCCACTAATCTGGAAAAAGCTTTGGTGAGAAGATAATGCTTGGAGCTAGATTTTGAAAGGGGAAGAGAGGATTCCAGGCAGGAGGGTGGCTCTGTGTGCTTCAGTGATTTAAACTGCCACCTGTGATATCAACATCCTATGCTGATATTAGTTTGAGTCCTGGCTGCTCTGCTTCTGATCCTGCTCCCTGCTAATGTACTGGGGAAAGCAAAAGAAGATAACCCGAGTGGTCAGACCCCTGTCACCGTGTGAAAGATCCAGAGGAGGCTTTTAGCTTTGGCTTGGCCCAGCCTGGCTGTTGTGGAAATTTGGGGAAGTGAACCAGTATATGGAAAATATCTCTCTCTCTCCCTCTCTCTAATTCTTCCTTTTACATAATAATAATAATAGTAATAATTTTGGTAGAGGAGAAATCCTACGTCAAGGGAAATAGTGTGACTAAAGGCATGTTAAAGGCTGGAAGCCCCTGGAGGTCTGGGAGATGGACAAAAGGCCCATGGGGTGGCAGCTTGACTGACATTCGAGTGGAGCTGCTCAGTGCGTGTGACTAAGAACCTTAGCTCTCCTTGGGGACCAGCAGCAAGCTGACATAGCGAGAGCTTTCCAGAAAATCTTAGCATGGGACTTGGAACTCGGTGCAAGATACAGCAAAGTTCAAAGAGCTGTTAGCTGAGTGCATCTAGATCTGCACCATGAGACAGGACAGGGAAGCAGGGGAAAAAGAGGTTATGCTATGATTGCCACTGTGGCCAGGGATGTCCCTAGCCCAAGCTCAGCTCTGAGGAGAAGGATTGAAATGTGAGTCACCTTTGTGGCTGGCTTATTTGGTGGAAGAGAGGTATGTTTGTACTTGTAAGTTCAAATGTTGATGTGATCCACAAAGGTCACTGGTAAGTATGGGACTCCAGGGGACGAAGTATAGAATAGAGACCATGGCACCGGGGATCTCCCATCTGGCTCCCTGAGGGTCTTGTCCCTCCACAGTCTGTCCAGTAACATCCAGGATCCTACATTCCCTGCCCACTGGGCAACCTGAGTCCAGAGAGGGCTTAGGCACACAAGAGTGCCCTCAATGGGGGACTCAACCCTGTTTGGTGACAGATTGTCAGAAAGGGTTGACCCCCACGTCAGAGCTGTATGTCTCTATCCTGTGTGGGACAGAGTCCCAACATGCTGAATTTGCTGTGGCTCAGCTGTTTCCTCTAGAATGGTCTCTGTGGTTTGTTTGGCGTTCATTTGTTGATTTATCCCCTTTTAAATCTTCTCCCAGGGAAGCAGCTGAGAGGGCCTTGGCTTGGCCCGTGTCCCTCCCCTCCTGGGATAATATTTTTATTCCTGGATGGAGTGGCTTGGTGCCTCTGGACTCTGACCACTCTGCCTCCCCACACAGGATGCTCTGGTTGACTCTTATGACCTGGAGAGGAGGAGGGGGACGGTTGGGGAAGAGGAGCTTCCGTCATGAGGAAGGGAGAGGACCTTGGCACAGGGTGGATATGGGACAAGGGAGATAGCTAAAGCTTCCTTGTTCAAAGTTTTTATAAAAGATAAAGAAATAAGTCTTTGATTACACTTCATGTCAATACTTCTGTTTGATTGCACCTTTTCTCTTCCTTTTTTTCTCCAGAAATCACTGCTCCCACATTATGGATCAAGCACTTGGTAATCAAGGACTCCAAAATGAACAATACCAATGTAAGAAATTCAGGTAATAACCTCTCTTGGATTGGTTATGTACCCGCTATGTGCCCGATTGTCCCATGGTGACCTATCATGTGGGTTTGGGCCAGTTGTTTGATCAGTCTGGTCTTGAATTTATACTGTATAAAATAAGGAGACTGGATGAACTAACCCTTTCTATTTTTAATTGTCTGGGTGTAAGGTTTCTGCTACCTACCAATTTTTGATAAACTATAGAATTATATTAGTGTGCTTCGCTGCTTTGAGATGGGATGCAGGAGAAGCATCAGCAGCATCATTATTTGTAAGATTAGAAGAGCACTGTCGCAGTGTCTAGTCTGTGTTGGGTCCTGCGGATCTTCACAGTGGCTGTCTCATTTGAAATCAGTTCATCCCAGCCCTATGAGCTAACTCTGACAATCATCTCTGTTTTGCAGAGGAAGCTTCAATGATTGAGAGAGAGAAAGTAACTTATCTTGGGTCATAGGTAGAAAGCAGTTGGGCTGGGGAAACTTAATTATCTTTGAGAACAGAGTGCCTAACTTCTTGTGCTGTGTTCTCTGAGTGTTATAACATGGTGATGTCCTCTCAAGTTCTGCCTTCCATCTCTGTTCTGTGATGTACAAATGGAATAGGACCTTGGTAAGAAATGGTTTTTAGGATGGCACACTCACCTTCTTTTTGTTGGGATGACCCAGTCACCTTGACTTCTCCCCAGATGACTCAAGTGGTGTCTGGGTGTTTGGTGTGTAAGACAGAACTAACAATTGCCTGGGAGAAATTGAAACTCAGGTTAATTACTAAGTCTTGATAACTCTCCTAATGAATTGGGACATCCTCCATCATGGTCATACTGCTTAGTGCCTGTAGACCTTTTCTAGATAAATGTATATGCAAGGCATGGTACCACAAAGGCATTTTTTTTTGAAGATAGAGTTTTATTGGAACACAACCACTTACTTACATATTGTCAATAGTTTTTTTTTTCATCCACAGGTAATTGTGATAAAAACTGGATGGTCGCCAAAGCCTAAAATATAAGAGTACTTGAATAGTTTATGGAAAGTGAAATTAAAAAATACATTGTTTGGGGCCCCAAAAAGTTTTTAGAATTCATGCATTGCGTATAATGCAATGGAAGCTTTTGGAGGGGAACATTATTAGGGTATTGTCTTACTCAATTCTTTGTCACCTTGTAGACCAAACAGACGTAGGACTGTGGCTCCTGATACGTTTACTGAGATGACCAGGGACACCTGCATTAGCCGTCTTGAAACACCTCATAGAACTCTTCATCACTTCACATGTACCTTTTCAAGCTGTAACATCCTGTTCTGGTGCAGGCTCTGCAGATGGGCTGCCAAGGAAGCAGCCCAGTGTCTGGCTTTCATAGTCTGGGAAGTAGGAAATCTCTGCACGGAGTAGTGCTAAGCTGTAATGGCAAATGCACGGGCTTGGCCTTTCATTTTTGAGCTCTTTGGCTGTTCTTTTAAAAATATTTTTTCTTTTTGATGGAATTACACACACACACACACACACACACACACACACACACACACACAGAGTCTCTTTCCGCTAATTCACTTCCCAAATGGCTGCATCAGGGAGGGCTAGACCAGTGGGAGCCAGAAGCCCGGAACTCCATCCAGATCTCCCCACATGGTGGCAGGGATTCAACAACTTGGGTCATTTTCTCCTGTGTTCTCAGGCGAATTCGCAAGAAGCTGAATTAGAAACAGAGCAGCTAGGACTCAAACTGGTGCTCGTATAAAATGCTGGCATCACATATAGCAGTTTAACCTGATGTACCACAATACGAACCCCAAGAATGGCTACTCTTGAGTTAGCACATTCTTTATGTAATGTGCTAGCCGTTTTTTGCATGATTGTATTTGATTCAGTGAGAAGTGTGCTAGACTTTAATGCTAACTCATGTCTGGGCACCTGGTTCTACTGGTCTATAGTCAAACACCTGAGACTTTTCTATTAGAGTTTGATGGAAACGTCTGCGTTCAGGTGTCTTTCAGATACCTGGGAAGGAAGGATGGCATGGGCCCTGCAGAGCCCATCTGAGAGAAACTCCTCTTCTCAACAGATTCCCAGAGGAAAAATAAGATCCCAGTTTCTTTTACACCCCAAACATCCTTTTTCACACTCAGACCCTGTGACGCCAGGTTTGTTTTCTGGCCTAGGGACTGTTGATGTTGGAAAGGATCCACTGGGCAGCTGCAGTTTTGCAATAACATGACACACACGCCTGTAGACGTATCCAGGCCCCTTCCCTCCTGCTGAAAGCTCTGGGCCTTGTTTGTAAGGCTTTGTCACGGGTTCGCTGTGGTCAGTGCTGCCTCTTCAGACCTTGGCAGGTTCCGTAGCGGCAGACTGGCCTCTCTGCTCCTGTCCTTTCTTGCTCTCATCTCCCTCACACCTTTCCTCTCTCGCTTTGTCATTGCCCCAGGGATTCTTTTTGAATGCACGGAGACAGCATATCTGAGCAGCTGACTTTGAACTTGAGAGAAGCATCCTCTCACAGATGAGTATCAGCTAGACCTCTGTGCTGCTTTTACAAGAGAAATGGAATTCCTGCTGACTTTTTGTAAGCGGGAAGGCATTTCTTAATATATCAAAAGTGTAAGATATTTTCTTTAAACCCCAACATTTTACACAAGAGGGAAAAGGGATAAAATAAATGACAAGAATTAGGCTTCATATAATTCTTCATTGCATACCCCATGGCTTCCCAGCTGACCACGTGCAGACACTTTCTGACAGCTGTGATATATGTGTCTTTTTATTTCTGCACAACAAAACTCTCTTCTGGAAAAATGAGATCTCTCAGGAAACAGGGTCATACAATCCTTAGCTGTATTCTTTGTACAACATATAATGCTACCAAGGCCCACAGCCCATTTCCCTCTGCCCTAGGGAGTCGGGAGTTAAAGTTAGGTCTTGTAGCTTCTGATGGAGAGCTTTAACTTCCCTGCCTGCATCTCTGTCTCTTTCTTGCTTCTCTTTCCTTGTTAACTTCCCTTATGATATGACCAGGGACTTCAAGAAGTCTTAGAACCTGGGCCTACGAATTCCACACAGAAGGATCATACCTTTTTTCTCTTGATTCTTTGGCCAGTAGAACTTCCTCCGGTGTCTCAAAAAATGGAGTGACTGGGTCCCATGTTGTGATGTAGCTGGTTAAGCCACCACCTGCAAGGCCAGCATCTTACATGGGTGCTGGTTTGAGCCCCAGCCATTCTACTTCCAGTCTAGCTCCCTGGTTATGTGCATGAGAAGGTAACAGAAGATGACCCAAATGTTTGGTCCACCCACATTGGAAACCCAGATGAAGCTCTTGGCTCTTGGCATCAACATGGTGTAGTCCTGGCTGTTGTAACTGTTTGGGGAATGAATCAACAGATGGAAGATCTTGTCTGGCTGTCTTTCCCTTCTTTAATTCTGTCTTTCAAATAATTAAATGAATATTTTAAAAAATGAAATTGAGCCCGGTGTGATACCCTAGCGGCTAAATCCTCACCTTGCAAGCACCAGAATCCTGCATGGGCACCAGATTGTATCCTGGCCGATCCACTTCCGACTCAACTCGTTGCTTGTGGCCAGGGAAAGCAGGGGAGGATGACCCAAATCCTTTGGAATCTGCACTTACATGGGAGACCCAGAAGAGGCTTCTGGCTTTGGATCAGCTCAGCTCTGGCCATTGCTGCCACTTGGAGAGTGAATCAACAGACAGATCTTTCTCTCTGTATATCCTTCTCTCTCCTGTATATCTACCTTTCCAATAAAAACAATAATTTTTTAATGGAGCAATTGTGCTTCCTGTAGACAAAGCCATCAACAGGGGATATGATATGAAAATGCAGTTCTTAAAATTCTGTCTCAAAAATTACACCCCTTTCTTCTTGCCCTTGAGAGTCTCTGGTGCTTGCCCAAGCTACCATACCTGCCCCTGACCGTGCCTGCCTCCATCAGACTGTGATCTTCTAGCCCTCAGCCCCCTGTTCACAGTTTAGGTGTTCCTGTCTTACTCAGCATGCTCCCGCCAGGGAAGCTGCTATGGTTGAGACTGGGTGGGTGTGTGTGGGGGGGTGGTCATTGGGGCAATGGCATCTCCTGGCTGGTTCCCCCACCCCAGACCAGCAGTCAAGATCCGCCTAGAAACCATGGGCTGATGTAATGACCTGAGGCCTGGAAAAATAAACAGCTTGCAAGGAAACCAGTGGTAGCCGTTGTAAGCAAATATCCCACAGCCACCTGGACTCCTGTACATGACGTGATTGGGAGAATGAGTAATCCAGCAATGTTCACAGCTGAGGACGGGCCTGGGCTTGTGTGTGTTTAAAATGTCTATATGAAAACAAACCCTGGATGTTTATTTCTATAACTGGCCCTCTGAGTGTCTTGCTCATCTGTCTTATGCAGGTGCCTTGGTCAACAGTGGCCAGTAGAGTTGAACTGGGAACAAGTGACCATCTTTATGACTTTCTTCTTGGCAATGAAAGCCTTGTTCTTTCTCAAGCTTCCTCTTCCCTGAGGAGACCAATATGTACCTGCAGAGGCCCCAGAGGACCTAGCCCCACAGTCCATTTTCACTTGATTCTAAAATCAGCTTTCCTAATTGCATGGCTCCTTTGTTGCACACTGTTTGCCTACAAAGAGAGTGAGGGAGGTTACTGCATGATCCTCCCTCTGGGACTTCTTGACCAGCTGTTCTCAAAGTGAACTTGCATACCTTTTGGTATTTGACAGCAAAAACCACACCTCCTAATATTTCCCTTAGTATCTCTGGTATTAACAGTCTGAACATCAGGGCCAGGGTTGTGGAGCAGCAGGTTAAGTACTGCTGTCTGCAATGCCAGCATCCTATATCAGAGTGTCGGTTGGAATCTTGGCTGCTCTATCTCCCATCCAGCTCCCTGCTAGTGCACTTGGGAAGACCACAGATGGTGCCCTAAGCATTTGAAGCACTGGCATCAATGGGTGGAGTTGCTGGCTCCCAGCTTCAGCCTGGCTCAGCTC